ATTTAAATCCAGTCATTAAAGGGGACATATGTAAAACTGATGTATGAGCTTTTGAACCATGTCATCATTAGTTTACTCAAAATTGTATTTCAGTTGGTTCATGGATTTTTGAGTAATCACATTTTGTTGTGCATTCAGGGCTTGAGAGCTCAGAAAATTTCTGTTTTCACCTACCCCTTATCTCTGCCTACATCTCTCTATTTGTGATTATTTGAAAAATTCAGATTACAGGTTACATGTAGGGTTCAGAAATGTCCATAGCAATTTTTCAACAACTATAACATAGCATTAAAACAAAATATGTTTTCAACAAATTTTTTTCCTGAAGAACCAGTGTCTATAATAAAGCCTTTTTCAATCATATTGTGGTTTAAAATGAACAAAATGTAAACTAATCATCCATTTGTATTAGACTCTTACACTATATACAACCCCAAAAATGTAGTGTGTCAGCTCAAGTTATTGGCCAAAAAAAACATTAAAAACAGATATCAGGTCCTTTTTATACAAGCTTTATTTACATGGTATCTCCAGCTTTTGCAGTGTAGGAAGCACAACAATATCCACTGGAGTACTCTGCACTTCTGACACTATGTCTGTACAAAGTGAAGTCATATACAGGCAATATAAAACTTGGCAAATGGAAAAGGTTAACTGCTACTTGAATATGTTAAGAAAAAAGTCTTCAGTAAAAAAAATAATAAAATAAAATAATTATAATAATGCTGTTCCATAGTTTCACCTGTTGATGGCCCAATTGTTAACAAGGGAATTAACTTAAGGTTTTGTTTGTAACATACTTACTTCTAAGATCCAAAACTACATCGCAAAGAATTTGTGATTTTGTGGCAAAGACCTATCACAAGGTCATATGTAATAACAGAAAACATTCACTCCAACTCAAAGAGACACGGTAAGAAAAACGAGAGGTGGTGTGAAGAAAGTTAAAAGGTGCAACAGGTTTCAGTAAAAGAAAAAAAAAAAAAAAAGAATAATGTGTTGACTCCAAAAAAAAGTGTTCTATTCCTTTCACAAAATGAATATTTGTGGACGGTTATGAAGGAGGACTGTGAAAACTTTTGTATACCTGCCAATATGAATTTCACATTATTTAATGTACTTAATATTCATTGCAAAATTTGTATCTATAACTTCTATCGCTTGACTTTAAAATAAATAAAATGTGGAATTTGTTTTAATAGGAATAAAATTACAGAGGGGAAAAAGCAAAAAAATACTCCCATCTATGCAGTGTTTCCAAATTGCACTCACCCTTTTAATAATCTGTGTGCCTTGTTTCTGAGAACACTGTAGGTCAGTGTTGTGTGTTTGGTTGCATAGGAGAATATACAGTACAAAATGCCATGGGGAGTTCACATCACCTCCAACAGTTTAAGTATGTGCAATTATACAAATGAAAACACTGTTCTGTCAAAGTGGCAGAGGAATAAATAAGCCATTAAGATGCACTGCATGAATCAATATTAGGTTACACAATAATATACACTTAGTCAAATTAAAAGTTACAGCCCTCATTAAGCCTGAACACAAGTCTCTTTTCAGATCATACAGGGTGGAGAGGCAACATCCTTTAAAACCACCTAACCCCGTTCTTTTAAATACTTCAAGGCACTCGATTGGGCAAAGAGGATTCAAGCATCTCTCTCATTCTAATAGACATGTGCATATATGCCTGTATCATGCATACATCTATTTTGCATCCTATGTCATAATTTCATAGTGAAAATTTAATACTAGCAGAATTCATTTACAGTGAATACATAAAAGATTAAAGATGTATTTGACTCTATGTAGCTGTTTGCATGAAGTTATTACTGCTGGAATTGTCAGTTTTAGCTGAAGAATCATTTCAAATGCCAAGCTAAAATACAATTAAACTAAAAATACTTTTGTGCCTGGTTTCTATATGAATGTAACACTAGGCCCTCATGTATAGCCTTTAAGTCCCACAATAACACTTACATATGGTACAATTACAAGCTCCATGGGCCATGACTATCATGTTGCAATCTAGGTTACTTATACTGATATCGTTTTCATAGCAAGACACTGAATAGTTTAGTATAGATGAATAATGTAACAAATACTGTATTGGATCAGTACATCAGACTGCACAACAGTGCATTTGCTCTGTAGAATAATACAAGTAGGCTTAATAAGGGCTTGTGTCTAAAATCATGTTCAAAACAAATGTTAAAACACTTAAATTACTGCTAAATTCATCCCCACAGTAGGAGGGGTCGCCAGCTGCTCCTAACGTTACAGTGCTGGAGCCATGCATCAGGCGGCGCAAAGACCCTCTTCTCTCCCAGACATACAGTAATCAAAGTCAAATATAGTGACAACGTACAAGGACATCCAATGTAACTTGTAATGTAACAAAAATGTTTCTCCGTAACAAATGTCTCAAATGTTATCAAAAAATTTGAGGAAGTGACATGTTTGAGGTATCATGTAACAGCCAGACCACATAAAATAATACATTAAAATACTAGACTAAAATACTTCCTTTGTAACAGACTGTCAGCTAAACTCATATTGTGTCTTTGTTTGAGGTTTGTAACAAAAATAAGTGGTAACAGACTTGTTTGATGTGTTAAGTTGACAGGCATGAGGTCCATGAGGAGAGGGGTTAAAACCAAATAAAACAGACAGGGTTAGAGAAACCAGAGTTACACAGCATGACGGAGGACAGGGGTTAGTTCACATGCTGCTGCTGGTTATTTAGTTTGTTGCTTGAGGTTTGTAGTCAACGTAAACTCATGCAAACAGAAGGCAGTTCATGCAGAAGAGGCCAAAGCCGGAACAGGCCGACTAAGACCATGCTAAACCAGGCTCAGAAGTTCAGAGAAGGGCCAGTCATGCAGTGATATTGCTGTCAAGGGAGGAGACAAAAAGACAACAGTCAGACACACTAGATGACAAAATAACATTAAGAGCCTTTGCATTCAGGAAGTATTTAGTGTGTTAGGAAAATTTTGATTTCACTTCTAATACACAAGGAATGAGCAGGATTCAAAGTCAGATTTTGATTATAATTGCAACATTCCAATTATTGCTTATTCAATTTAAAGATTTATCATGGATATTAAATTACTGGCCTTTAAATGCGAAATGTCAAATGCTTTATCTAATATTTAACTGTAATACACTGCGCCCAACATGTCAGTGTTTTGGGTATTCAGTCTAAATATAGTTATAGTAAGTTTGTGTGTCACCATGGCACATAAGGCATGTTTCAGACTACCCTGTAGAGGCTGGCACTGTAAATGGCTACACAAAATAACTATCTCAAATAGAGATAACTGTCTCTCATTATTGCTGCACTTTAACCATCTTGTGGTTTAGGAAATATGTTACATATATACTTTGTATGTCCTATTATGTCTGTACTGAATGTTTCAAACTTAAGAGAATCAATTCAAACTAAAAATAACATAAACAACAACAAAACATTGCACAAAACCGCAACTTTACAACAAATCTATGGTTAAAGCTATAAAAAATTAATTCAAAGCCTAGTTCAACAAAATCAAAATCAACATCAATCATACAGGCTCTAGAAGGGGGCCTATGCTTGTTATTTAGAAGACTGCATGTGGAGTGAATAATCCTACTGTATTCTAAGAAAAAAACTCAAAATTGTGGGTTCTTTAAGGGTCAACAAATTGATGAAAACGGGCAAGGTAGAATCTGTAGCTCACTGAGTTTAAGACAAAAATTTAATCCACACGACCATAGAACCATGTCTTCTGTAAAGGTAAAGTTGAGTCTTAGAACAGGCGCTGGGCTTTCTGAGCAGGAGCAGTCTACCTGGCCGTAGCTGACTGCACGTGGCCTGGGTAGGAGCGCCGGGAGCTGGTGGCTTGTCTCTGCCGAGCCAAGAAGGACTGACCCGAGCCAGTGTTGGCCAGTCTGTCTTCTGCTGCCTTCTTCTGCATAGACATCCCCTGAAACAGTCCAGGCAAAACAAACTTAATTCCAACAAAGGGATTTCAGATAATGCTTTTCCACAATCAGACCGGTTCAGTGTCATGCATTGGGTAAAACCATGCACTGATCAAGGCTGCCCTCTAGTGGTTTGACTACAACATACAACTTTAAAGAATGTGTAGAGCACTATCACAACACCGTCAGTATGCATCCCGCTGCACATCGCATCAGGTTTGTCAAGTTGCTTATTTTTCCTTTTTTTTGTATCATGCTTTTGTATTTTTATGGGAGCATGGGTGATGTAGGTTTGTGGGCTGAGCATTGCACAGAATCTTATAGCTAACCATAAGGAGGGTTCAAATAGGGCCCACGAAAGATCACTAAATTACTGATGACACTGATGCACAGATGACATCTAAAACCTCTTCAGACATGTTTTTGATGAGGGAACATCATAATAACATGCTAGAAAGCATATTATATATATATATATATATATATATAATATATGTATATATTAGGGATGGGCATTTGATGAAATTTTCTTAATCGATCGTCGGAAGAATTAACGATCGATTATAGATTAATCATTAACGTTTTTATATAAAAATTATCATTATTATTACTATCTACACTACTAATTTGCATAACTAAATTCAACTTTACGACATATAAACCGTAACGACTCTAGAGCCACATCAGCCCGTTTGAGATTATAATGTGTTTAATTCAGTTTTGCGCAACTCTCACAGAAACGAAACTTAAAACCACATCGCTAATTTGCATAAACTAAACGAAGATAAAAATAGAGCTCTTGTGCGCTGATGCAGTTCAACTTCTGTCGGATTAAAAGACATGACTCAGTAGAATACAGGTTAGTGTGACCATATTTGCGTTTGTCAAAACCAGGACACCGTACGGGGGGTGAGAGGTGGGGCCTCGTCATCGACATTGGGCGACTCTCACCTGGCAAAACTTTTCCCACTGGACACCGAAACATATGTGCTGCTTTGTACACTGTGCACATGGCCTCACACTTGTCCCGACCAGAAAGCGTGGAATTTCTTGTACAAGTCATCGTTGCACATCGTTCGCATTTGCACTTCAGTACGTTGCATGCTGACCGACATGTACGGACCTGTTTGGTCACGCTACGCACAGCAACCTACATTCGGTTTGTCGATTAAAATGAACGTAATCAATGAAATTTTTAATGACCAATTATCAATTAATTGACTAATCATGCCCATCCATAATACATAATATATAATAATATATATAATAATACATAATATATAATAATACATATATATATATATATATATATATATATATATATATATATATATCATAATACCCCCTCTTTATTGTTTTTGTTAGATTCATTAGTATATGCTTATTGAAATGTTGAAATCTTGTTTACCATATTGTACCATGCAGACACAATCAGCTTCTCCTCGTAATCTCTCTGGGTCTTTGTCTTGTCCATCTCTTTCTGTTTGGAAGAAACATGAATTGAGCTCAAAATCTAAAAGATTTCTCACGTATCCCGTAGTTCAAATCAGAAGACAGGCACATGCAACTATCCAGTCAAGTGCCCCTGACTGTAGAAGAATGCTTACTTCCAATGAGTGCAACATCCTCTCCTTCTCCTGCAACTGGTTCTTCAGAGCCTGCACTTCTGGGCCTGAGCCCTGATTTTGTTTTGGGTCCAAGGTTCGGATGACCTAAAATGAAAAACATGTCTTTAGTTAGATTTATGGTCTAGTTAAATAGTTGTTCATCTTTTTTTGACTACATTTTCAAATTGGCTGTTCTTGTACTTTGCGTTGCAACAATTGAATTTCCCCAAAATAAGAATAATTGTTCTCTTATTCTTCTTTAAAAGGCGACGTGTGTGTTTTAAAAACAGAACTACAACAATGTTTTTCACAAGTTAAAGAGACCAGACTGGAGTTGTGCCTGCACTATACGGTAAGGCTAACAACAACTAGCTGACTCATGAGCTGCTTGTATAATATCTGTAGATAAGACAAAGTTTACTTAAATACATGGAAAAATAAATGGGAACAAGTCCTTTCAGGTGGGGAAACGAGGTAAAAAATATAGAAACAAAATCAACACTTACACTCTTGGCTTTTTCAAGATATTTCTTATATCTTTCTTCCATCTGTTTCATGTCATCATCTTTCTTTTTCAAAGCATCTTCAAGTTCTTCGACTCGTTGGCCTGAGAATACAAATCACATTAGACAGACATTAGAAACAACACAGAAATAGAAAATGACATTTTCATCTCTGGTGAATCTGACTCACAACTGGCATTGTATTTAGGCTCCATCTCATCAATCACAGCATTTTTCTTCAGCAAGTCGTTATTCAACTCCTGTAGTTTCTCCCTTTAAAAAGATATATGTTTTTTCTTAGGACACAATCTCCATCTCAATGCATGGCATTTATGACAGAATGCTAAAATATAACTTACATGTGCTCTTCATATTTCTTCTTTATTATGGAAGACTGTGCAAATAATAAGATTCATAGTTTAGAAGTAAATTCATAAAAATCGTTATCGCTTCCAAGAGAAGAGTCTGACTTTACAGACAGGACACACATGCAGGAAATAGAGACTGATTTCTAAGAGGCACCTGAAGTTACAAGATCTAAACTACAGCTAAAACTAATAACCAACATTAAAACATAAAATATGCTAACTAAGAAGTAAAAAATACACTGCAGTTCAAATTCCAAAACTGTTACCTGTATAACAGAAAAAGTAAACTCTTAAGCAAAGTTTAAATTAATTATTCTCCAGAAAAACATCAGTTCTATTTACCTAAATAATTATAAATCAATTCTGCCAAGTGTTCAATGAGATGGGATTTTCATGGGATTTGTGACTTTGCCCCCAAAACATTAGTGTTTCTAAAAAGGCCTTTTCTAGTAATTAGCACTTAAATTGACATATATATATATATATATATGCATAAACAAATACTTTTTTTTTTTTTATATAAAATTTGAAGGGCTGCATTATGCATAGGTATTAATCTTAACTCCCCAAATGATTTTGGAATTTCAGTTGCAGATCTAAGATTACACATGATAGCACTCAGTACTTACTATAGTCTGAGAAGAAACAAGGAAAACAAAATTATGAAAAAAATAAATAAAAAAATTAATTGTATAACAATACAGATAAACATGCAAAGAAAAAAAAAACATGGTGCGTTAATACAGCCTATCACAGTGGTCAGTGAGCTCCCCCTGTTGGTATAAAGATTCCAAAGCAGTTCTAGTGTGTACTTTATTTAGAATTCTATCCACATTTTTCTCCTCCTTTCAGTAATAGTTCTCTACTGGCATTTTCTTAGGTGGTACTTGGTGTGAAAAATTTGAGAACCACTGGTCAAGAATGGTGTAGCATTTTGAAAATAAAGTCACTCTGTTTTGTACTCACATCATCAGCTTTGGAGCCCTGTTCTTGGAGAGACTTCTGTAGCTCCTCCACCTGACTCGACTCTTCCATAAGACGCTGGTTGATTAGTCTACAAAATGATTAAAGTGATTAGAAAACGGATGTAAATCTTATGAGCCAGCAAATTTGGTTAGAACTAATTGTGTGTTATGTCATTGCCACTGACCTGTTCTCAGTCTCTAGTTCGTTTTTCCTGCGGTTCGCATCCTCCAGTAGACTTTGTAATAATGCAATTTTCTCATTGTCTGACCCTTCCTGGGCCAGTTTTAGCATCTTGTTTTCATGCTGCAAACGTATGAGGTGTTCTCTGAAAAACAAAATGGCAGATTTTTACATGATGAACACATTGACACTGATGCTGAATTTCACTTAACTTTATGTGCATAAGTCAGGTTAGACTACTTTTTCAATAAAACATAGTTAACGTTATTATATTTAAGATTTTACTTTTTTATTCAGGTGAAGTTTATTATTTTACTTTCCAGTTGAACACGAGCAGCAGGTAAGACATGTAAAGGTAATGTAAAGGTTACCTAGCAACCACAATGTAAAAGAGGGCCAAAACTTCTAAATTACACAATAGTTATGATTAGATAAATAAAAATAGATGACAACATCTTTATATTGTTAAATTCATGTTTAATCTGTTAGAAGATTGTTTCTTCATTTTGGATAGAATTTTCCATGTTGATGACATCAGAATAGCTATTCCATTTTAGAACTACTAACCACTATTTTTGCACTTTTTTTTCCAAATCTTTCCCCACAAACTGCCACTTTACTGATGTAAAAGAATGATAAATAGTTGGCACAGGTACTATCCCACCAAACAAAGTAATAATTAAAAAAACATTAAACTGTCATACGTACTTTAAATACCAACCTTGGTAGATTGGAGCAAAAACAAATCATATGTTTCAGATGCAGCTTGCACAAACATTAGCTCGTGAAAATTTGTACATGATCTCAAGGTATATTTCAATAATAAAGCCAAAGATAGAGCATAAGTCTGATCAAGCTAGTTTTCACACTACTGAGCCCAGAACAAGTGAGAGCAGGTCCTCCCTAGAGTTTACTTATTCTGCAACATTTACATTACCCTAGGGCCAACACAAAAACAAAACTTAAAGATGTACTAGAGACAATAAACAATTACGTATTATTTCTGAATTATTTCAGTATGTAACCACAAGTTTATTCAGCGGTGAAGACAAGTGGCCCATAGTCATTGAAGAAGAGATTCCTTTTGGAAAGAATCAGTTAAGATGATGTAACACACAACTTCTCTTACATAACTGAGCAGGCGTTTTTTTTTCTGGGCCAGCCTCAGCTTCATTCTGTCAGAACAACAAGGCCACGATATAGGCCACACTACAATCAGATCAACCAGGCAATTTTAAGGCCAATTATCATGTTTTTTTGCCAGTTAAGTGATTTGCATTTGCAATATCCCTTTAGTTTCCAGTCCCACCCCGATTTTCCTGTCTTTGTGATCTATGTGGGCTAAATCTTACCTCATTTCTGGTGTGGTTATTTCAGCAGCTAGAGAATCTGAACCATCACTGCCCAACTTTGGAAATAAGCCTATAATGAACAGATAAAAGTTAGCCAAAACAGATATTAAGAAATGATAAAGATAGTCATTCATCTGTTTTTATAATACCTGAAGTGAGCCCCTCTTGAGCTTGGACACAATGTAGTTCCTCTATTGTCTCTTTTAATGAGTCTCTCTCTGAGCGCATACGCTACAGGGAAATAGAGAGGTTAAAAGGTAAGGTGTAATTATGTATGTACTGAGATTTATCCACTTTATAAAACAGCTTACATCTTTTTCTTTTTGTAGCGAGTCCACTTTCTCTTTGAGTCTTTTGTATTCAAATTCCATTTTGTCTGCCTTTTTGGACTCCTCTGATAACCTGTTTTGGAGTTCAACCACCTGAAGAGAGGAAAAGAAGAGACCTAATTTCCAGCCTTCCGATCTTAAAAATGACAAATGAAAAAAAAAGACAAAATACTTTAAATAATAGTTATTTACGTACCTGTCTTTTGTAAGTTTCCAGTTGTCCCTTAGCAGCATTTGCCTTTCGTAACTCCTCTTCTAAACTGACATGAGTTTGCATCAGTGCTGTGTTTTTTTCCTCCAACAACTTAATCTGAAAGTCAATGTCAAATCAAACACATATTATCAATTTTATATATTGGGAAACTATTAAACCAAGAGAATACAAGAACCTGTCTTCTGAGTAGTCCCATGTCTTCCAGTTTCTTCTTATAGTGTTCTATTGTACCTTCTAGTTTAGAGACCTTGTCAGAGGAGTGTCTATGAAAAAGGTATATAGGAAAGTTAATTACATACCTACAGTTTCACAAACACATCATATAAATCTACTCACCTGAGGACATCCATCTCATCCTTGAGAGACTGGGCTTCGTCCGCTAGCGATGTCAGGTCTTCATTCTGTGACTTCACATCTAACAGTTCTTTTTCAAGCTCCTCACAGCGGATCCGGTAGTCATCTTTGGCTGCTTCAAGCCTTAAATACACACAGCAAAGTTATTCTCTAGATTTTATTTGAGATCCAGAATAATTTAGGTCTAGTTGTCAATAATTCGGACAGGTTTTTCAAACAGAGAGGTCCACAGCCAAAATTCTGTAGTCTTGCATGTGGTTTGGAGTTTGGAAAGTTATTTAAAGGAATACACTGGGATGCTTTGGGAATTAAATGGTAATCATTAAGTGTGTCTTGTTTGTGTTTATGAAATCAATACTGAGACAATTTAACATTCAAATGAAAAAAATATACCCAGCTCTACTTCAAATACAGGTTTATGGTTTTATGATTTGTTTTTTGTTTACCTGAATGTTTCTTCCTGTAGCTGTTCCAGTTGTGTCTGCAGCTGGAGGTGCCTTCTTCCGGCAGGGCTGTTCACATCCTCTATGGAGTCCGACTGGTTAAGTCTCTCCATCAAGACCTGATTCTCTGCCAGCAAACTGCTTTTCTCATCTTGTAGAGCTGCCACCTACAAGGGCAGGACCAGAAGAAAAAAAAAAAAGAGAAAAAACAAAGGGGGTGTGCCAGGACAAGGGGTGGGTTGCAAGAAAGGAGGGAAAGAAAACAAAAGAAATTGTTTAAAACGTGAATATTTACTTTGATTATTATCTATTATAAAACAGAGGGTATACTGGGGTATTTTAATTATTCATATACACTGAAATGCCTGGTAATGACACAGAGTATGACAAGGGAAACAAACTTATATCTAGCAAGGAGGGCTTCAGACAATTTCATAAGTCCTTTTCATATCAACAAACAAGGCTTCAAACTCCACACAAAGCAAAGCAGCAGGTGGGAATCAAACAGCACTAGTTCATTGAGAAAAACAAATTTTTGTGATATTTACCAAACACTATCAATAACAATTAACTTTTGTTTGCTTTGGTCTGTAGATCCTTATTAAAAATTAAATATTATGAAATAACAGCTATATATTGTATATGTGATTTTTTTATAAATTGATGTTTTCTCTTCTTTGAGTTTCACCCATGTGTGTCCAGTGGGTTTAATAGTACAAAATAATAATTATACTATACAAGATTGTCTCAACCAATAAACATGTAAAGACTGACACGAACAAAAGCAATTTAGAAAATCTCATATTTTTGTTTGGATTGAGCCAACAGTGATCTATAGCTGTTGGTGGAAAAGTCTGTCCAGGTCACAGGGCAGGGGTGTATTAGTGATGGGTAGACATGGGACACACCCGGACACTGCACTGCAGTTAGTTGTGGCTGCAGACCACAGAGAGAACATGTGTCCACACTCTTGTGTGTACTGTACACATGTCCACTCACATGCACACACACGACTCAGAGAGGGGCTGGATTCTCCAGAGCAAACCATTCAGGTCAAAATCCAGGATTATTAGGCACAGCAAACATGACATGGAGAAGGGCACAGAAAGAAGAAAGATTGGATTTACCCTCTCGTCTAGCTCATTAAAGTCTAACCTCAGTCTATCACGCTCCTCTTGGACATGGAGGGCCTTGAAAGCAAGGCACAGTATCAAAGAGTCAATACAGGCCACTGTACACCAGTACTTTAAAATTTCTTACAATCATATTTTGTCTCTAATGCTTGCAAATCAAGAATTAGTATGCATTTTAGGAAAAATATAGATGTCGCAACTGAATAAAAGCAAAAAAAAAAAAAAAAACCCACCTGCATGTCAAGTTCTCGACACCTCTGTGCAATTTCTTCTTTAGTGTTCAAGGCCTCGTTAAGCTCCTCAACAGTCTTCTTCAACTGTTATTTGTAAGACAAGAAGTCAGTGAAGGGAACAATTAAGTACATAATACACAAAGTATGTACACCAGAAACTGGTACACAAAATTGCATTCTTCTTAAACATTTTTAGATTTTGGTGTTATATTTGTCTTCACGCATACCTGTCTGTCCAGGTCCTCATAAGAGTCTGTTCCTGTGGTGACTGGAGTCTCTTTGCTCATGAGCTATAGACACAAACACTGTTACTGCAAACACAACACAACCCATTCATTTCTCATTCTTGATAAAGCTCTGAAATCACGTACCTCTTGGATGGCGGTCATGACGACATGTTGCACTGACTCCTCCATGCTCATTATGGTTTGAATGTATTCTAAGAAAAGGTAAACATGAAAGTGTAAACCTAACTTGTCATATAATGGATACCAATAGTAAGATGTGACCTGCTTTGGGTATCTTTAAAGGCACTATATAAATCCATTTAATTAATCTACACCTTGCTTTTGTTCACAGCTGACAGCACAGCCCAGTATAAGTTGTAACATTCTCCCAAGTTCAGCAGCATCTGAATGCTCTCCAATAAGGGTTACATCTGGTAGCCTGAAGTCATTTATGTGCTGACCGAGGATCTGAACAGGAACAGAAAATCATAATTATTGATCCAACAGAACATTTATATTATTCTAATGAACCATTTCAGCTGTGAATTTTACCTCCTGGTTATAATCTAAAATTCCTTTCAGAACCTTCTTCAAGTTGCTGATCTGAAATGCACAAAATGATTAGAATCATAAAGCAAAGCCAGTAACTGTGAGTACATCCATGTTTTTGATACCAACCTTTAACCTCCAGTTGTCTCCAACATCTGGTTTAATTCTACTGATCCATGCTTCATTAAAATACTGTGCATCTCTATAAAAGACAGCGGAAATATTAACACAGTTAGATGATATTTTAAGAAATTTACCTATCATAGGACAACTAAAAAAAAATCATGGTTAACTAAACATTCCCAGAGACTCGTAAACAGCATCTACATTAAGTGAAAAGTTAATTTAACTGTCTAGCCTCTCTTAAAACTCCAGTTACCTCACTCCATGCAGCCTCCTTTTGTTCATAGAAACTCTCAACATCCTTAATGATAAAATAATTACTCGACTAATGAAAAATGTGATCGACTAAGTCAGCATCAACCGATAGATCAACTGAACAACTAAAGGACTGTGCCCCTAGAATTGTCATCGGGATACTCAAAAAGAATATAATTTTAGTCTATCAGCAGCAAGAAGAGTATGACAACAGACAAACACCAGTCCAACAGAAGCAATAAGTATTTAGAGGTAATGTAAACCAAGTGAATCTCTTAAAGATGCACTGCATAACATTTCTGGTGTAGGGTCTGTTACCTACTTGTCTCCATGGAGATGATATTGCTTTGGCTGGAATGTTTCATGCTATTACTTTAAACATTTCCATCTAGCATTTATTCATTACAGGTGTTTCTATTCAAAAATGCAATCATTCCTTCTGTGAGTAAGGGCGACTCCACAGACCTAAATTGTAATGTAGCATAGTGCTGTAACCTGCCTGTCTTTCTTGTGATAGATTTAGAGAGATTTATTCTATACTGTAGAACTTCTAGAGAAAGCAATAATATTGGAGACAAACAGGTGGCAGTCTCTCCACTAGAAATGTTACGCAGTTGCAAGGAAAGGAGACATGGGTCCATCATAAAAAAAGTACAAGAACACAGTGTTTTGTTATTTGAGATAATGCTATTAGAGCACTGAACACAACTGATGATTGATAGTGATTCTTGGGTTCTTTATCTCTTCAGTGATTTTAGGTTGGCCTAGAGGGAATGTGATTTTTAACATGACCATACCGAAGGCAGCATGAACGCTTGCGAACTTACATTTTTTGTAGAGCCTGGGCCATGACAACCCCACTGGTCAAATCTTCAACTGTTTTACATGGGGCCTCCACTCCAAAAGTTTGGATCTGAAAAAAAGACAAGCACATATTTTTATTTATTTATTTATTTTTAACTATTATGCTTTTAGGCCAGAGGTTCCCAAACTTGTCAGACCCAGATCCTCACAATAACCATGCAACTGACTCGGGACCCAAACTGCATTTTTTATGTTTATTTGAGTAACAGTACAATTTCACTAAAAATACTGTTCTCAATGAAAAAATAGATGGAATAGTGTGAATTGAGTGTTCTGTTAAAGGCCACATTCACAGATTGAATACACACAAAGCACAACAAATTTGCACCTAAAGTGAGCCTAATCGCCAAACTAAACTGGTACAAGAAGGACTAAAACAGGACCAAACCAAGAACTGTGTGGCAGTACTGTCACCCTGTCCTCTTTCTTGCTTTCTTTGTAAATAGTATAATCTTAGCTGAGTTGGTTGCATACTAATCCTTGGGACTATACTGCCTTTGCAAACTTTTCTCCGCGACACACCACGTGCTTAAGGAGGAAGGGAAATTGAAAGCAGGAATGTCTGACATCTGACGGGAGGAAAATTACATGGTTGAAATTCCTGCTATAGACTTTATAGAAGGTCTCTCCCACTTGCAACACTTATAATATAATATGCCATGAAAAAGTATGTAGAAAATAGAGAGAAAATCTCAAATTAGGCTCCTATTCCAGGTTAGAGTCCCAAGATGTTATGCAAGTTTATGAAAGAGTGAACACAATACATCTATCCTGAAATAAAAATACCTGTGCATGTGTGTACAGGGCTCTCCAACTACATCTCAAGGCAAAACATTGATCAGTTTTGCATCAGTTTTATAAAACAGCAGAGTAGAAAAACTAGCCAAACATATTTTTTTTAAAATACACTGTTATAAAGGAGAATGAACAGAGTGAATATTTATCATGTCTCTAATCTGGCTCTGAATGAGTCTTGTTTAAGAAAAGAAGAGAGAGGAGAGTCAAAGGAAGATGGCAATAACACAAAAGCCATCGCCACAGTACTGTGAAGAGCAGTCTTTAGTGGACATCAGGGCAACATGATATATTTACACTTCCCACATGTCACATCAACAGAACTAGAGGACACCACCAAGTCATCTGTGGAGGGTGAAAGCTGTTGCAAAAACAGGTACAGTACATTACGCTAGTAAAAGCAGCAAAGGGTTCAAATAAGAAAATCATATGTGGTTTTTAATTAATTATACTCAGACACACCTAAAATATATTAAAGGGTCTGTGTTACTGATCTCTGTTATAATGCTGTTTCTTCATGACAAACATACCTTTTTCATTCATCACCAGAATCATTTGGATAATTTCAGTCCTGCAATTGCAAATCTCTACTGAACAAAAGGTAAATGGTAGCTGTTAGCCTGAAAACTACCACTACATGACATCACAAGGAACTTTGGAGATGTAAGCAGACCAGATTACTCAAACATGTGTGAATGAAACAAAACACAACTCCAGGTATGTTTTTGAAGCGTTAACAACATTATATTATAGTCAATTTTGTGTAATATATGACCTTTAATCAAATTTATATAGCATATATGTTTTGCTGCTTCCCTGGTGAAAACAAGGGATGCTTTTCTGCAGTTTAGTTCACTACTTTAAGCGTGACATCACTTTCTAGTTCCTACAGCAGGAAAAGGGAACTGGACAGGAAAGAACGCAAATAGGAGAGTGCGCTTTCACAACAAACACTACAGCCCTGCAACCAACAGTATACTCTGCCCAATAATGACCAATTCTGTACAAATCAGGATAGAAGATATCTGATTTCATTTATAATATAAAAAATAATACCACCACTTTTTTGAAGCCAGATCACAATTTAGATTTTTTATTGCCTAGAAGAGGCGACCATAGCATTGTCTGATGGATGACATCACCATTTATCATCATATCGCCCAACCCTACATACCAGTCTGATCATGGCAATTAGCTTGTAGACCAAGTAATTTGAGTTATGAGATTTATATTGAATAATGTGCTTGTGTTTAATCCCAAAAGGAGCTTCTGCTAAACTGAGAAGCCCATTGTTTGCTGAACACATAAAGACTTGAATCACAGAGCAGTCTTACATTGGTGGCAAAGACTCTAAGCAGTTTGGCTGAGAGCAGTAATTAATATGATCCACCACCACTAGCTTGCATCACAACAGCTGACAGTGTCGTCAGCGCCATATCTATCCACTCACTAGTGCACTGAATTTTGTTGCACAATGTAAACAAAAGCAATCCCATATTGACAAGTTGCTTTTGTGATTTATCTATAATGTTTAGATAATGGTATTTTAAAGTAATGACTGGTCATCACTGTCAAGGATCATTACAAATAGAACTATTTTCAATTTTGGGTTGTCAATAAGTTGATAATTAAAATTTGAGAGCAGCTTGTGTGCTCTGGTGCTTTTGAATGCCTTGTTGCTACAGTATTACTGTTAAAGCATTTGAAAAACTGATGCATTGCTCATTTAAATGCAATGCAATGTAATAACAAATAAACAAACAGTGAAAAATCAGGTAATAAGACACAAGGGTGGGGGTGAAAATACAGGCTCCTGTTATTTCTGCTATTTTAAAAAGGTTTTAAGTCTTTAGTCACAGGGTCAGGAGTGACTCCACAGGTGACAGGCATGTGGGGAATGTCTGCCACCCAGATCATTACATCTGCATAAGGAGAGGCGGTAGTTTTTACATGAGGCAAGTCATGACAGCCACGACAAGAGATTGTAAGTGACATTTGACAAGATATGGGTTCTTCATATTATATATATATGTATATGTATATATATATGTTTGTGTGTGTGTGTGTGTGGTTCACTGCATGATTAAGGTGAATGAGGCCACTGTGTAAAACAGGCATCTACAGCAGTCATCTGTGTGACATCAACAAATGCCACAGTGGACAGTCCTATTCATAACCACATTGTTTCACACACATTGTACCACAGCTCTGAACACTGCACGGGGAGCTGTTTTACTCTGAAAACATTACACAACGATCAGACACATTACTGCCAGATCTAAAGGCTGTCCTTTGGAAATTTGTCGAAGTTCAAATGAAGACCAAGCGTTAAGGATTTATAGATTTAATGACAGCTGCGATAGCTGTTCCATCCTGTCGCAATATATGAGGCTAACTGGTTAACGAACATAAAAGCCAAAACAAAACAGTTAAGGTTAGCTTAGCTTAAACAGCATCATCTGATCAACACACCTTTCAGGCAAAGCTGAAAAAGCCAAGTGGTATAACACATTGAGCTTTGGATAACGGATTTTACGATTTTGACCAGGGTTTATAGAGAAACACATCATCAGACAGGCAGACAGCAAACAGCTGGCCTGCATACGTAACAGCTCACCAACCAGGAGTCCGTCTCGCTTTAGCCTTTAGCCGCTAGCTCGGCTAGAAAAGCTTTTGCTGTTTGCTTATGGATGGCGTTAGCTTAGCATTAGCCCCGGGAGCTAGCAAACCGGGGTCTCTCACAAACAGTGGAGAATCAATCATCAATACGTCTCTCGGATCACTTACCCACGTTAACAGGCTCTCACAGAGCTCCATGCGGTCCAAACACTCGGACGTGCTCATTGTTCTTTACCGGCGGTGGGCTTTGAGTGTTGTCGGGAACGGGGAATCTAGATCACAGTCGGCTACACCCCCGAGATCTCCACTACACTCCGCTCCAGAGGCGCAGAGCTGGGCTGGCCGTGGGCTGTGGGCTGGCCGTGGGCTGGCCGGGCCGGGCGGCTGCGACTGTACTGGGAGGAGCTTGTAGAAAAAGTTCCCTCTCAGAGCTTACACACACACAAAAAATAAGCAATCTCTGAAGTTCAGACTCAAAATAGTTTTACTGAATGTGATTCTCAGTGATTGTCCCATTGTCCCAACACTAGTTCTGGTTATTTAGGATTTTTCCTGCTATTTATATACAAATGGATGTATGGATGAATGGATGATGTCACATTTTCAGTGTCACATAAAACAAGCAAATTCAAGAGTTAAGGTTCATTCAAATGTGGATAAACAAATCTGCGTATTTCTTGCCAGTGACCACACTTCAACATTTGACTATGAAGCCTGCCATACAAACACTCCATAGCAGTACTATAAAATTATTGATAAAACATAATCATATCAAATTAAAATAAATAATTAAAAGTCAACTGACAAATTCCAACAGTTCCTTTATTTATTATACTGTCCCTACAAAAAATAGTACAATTGAGATTGATTTCCACCTTTACACCAAAAATAAGCTTACATTCACAACGAACAGGTAAACAAGTTTTTCATGTGCATTAGCGGCATACAAAGACAGCTTGAATCATTTATAATTCTCCAATATGCATAGTCAAACTCATTGTGTATGACTGAAAAATGTCCAATGAGTAAATTACCTTTTTATTATAGCATTACTCATGTTGTCCTTTTGTGACTTAAGCTTTGTGAGCTAAATACATATTAGCAAAATTGTATTGTCTTCACAATCAATTTCACAGTCTCAAAAAAACAAAAAAACAAAAAAAAAACATGTCACAAAAGGAACCATGAATGGGAAACCAATACCAAATACTTGTAAAATTCTGCTAGTTATTTAATCTCTGTGTCACAACTTCTCTGTACATAATCGAGATGTACACAAATAACAAAAGAATTACAAAAAAATCGTCCATGAATCCCAGTAGGCCAAACAGTGCCTCAGGAAGGATGTCGAGTGGTGAAGCCAGGTAAGTAATTGCACCAATGAGACAAAGAAGAATGCGAATTCTAAACATCCAGAACAAGCCCCCAACAGAAAACATTTCTCTGAAGGCATGACGGAGCAGGGTCGGCACATCACGCAACCTGTCCATAAGCTAAGAGGCAAAGGAAAAAAAGTATATGCTATAATAAAGAATTGGAATATATAAATTTGAGTACATATAGCACATTACTTACAGATCTGGGCTGGCCTGAAAACCTGCGGTTGTAGTCATTGATGTCTCGTAATATGAGCTGAGGTTCAGCTTCACCATCTTGAACCCTTTGAGGAGTTGCATGTTCATGAAATAATGGGAAGAGCAATGTGACCTTGAAAGAGACACATGGTCATTTTCATGACGATAGTAAGGATTTTTTTTTAAATGCATTGCTGTTTAGAATAATTATATGACTCTCTTACTACTTGTCTGCAGATAGGACAGTGAATGGCACCTAACCAAGTGCCATACCTCCAGTAAGCTATAATGCAGGAACCTATCATAAACAAACACATTTAGTTAGTTTTAGTTATTTATTGTATTAAATTGGTTCAGTTGTCATATTTGTTTAAGAAAAGCTTACCACAGAAAAGGTGCCCACAGTTAGTTTCTACAGGCAGCACAGCCTGTTGTAGGCATACAGGACAAGACATGTCTGTGTAGTACTGCTGCCTCGCCTCGGACTGAGAATTTTCCTCCTTTTGGAATAAACACATAATGCAGCGTTACTTTATTATGAAGCTGTGATAACATTACAACATATGCATTTAATACCAAAATAATTATCTAATCATTGATATTGTTTACCTGCTCTGTCTGGAGCTGTTGCCGAACTGCTCGTACATGTTCTTGATTCTCTGGATGAATATCATGCTGCTCCTGTCTGTGAAAAGAAAATGTTTTGGTTTTAATACATGCTCTACAAAATTTACTATTTTTGTTTTGTTTTTCTAATATATTACATATTGCATCCTGCCCTTACCTGCAGAGCAGAGTGAGCAGTCCTGCCAGAAAGGTGACGCTAACAACCACAACAAACAAAACCTGGTTACTGACGCCCTCAATTAGAGTGTCCTCATCTTGGATAAGATAGTCCACGTCTCCACAGTCCTCCATCACCCACGCTCACACTGATGAAAAAGGTACATGTTAAATTAACATAAGCCCAAAAAGAGACTAGGAAGTATTTTTCTTTTCTTTCTAAGAATAGGGTGAACCTTATGTCTAGTATTGACCAAGTAGCATTGCCAGCAACATCTTTCAATGGTATGTGTCACAGCAACAATAACAAGAGTTTGCAATTCAAACAAATGGGTAGGTCAGTCTGTTTAGTGATTAACAATGTGTAAGCCTGCAGCCGTGTTAAGACTAGATAGTGAGTGGGAAGTTGTGGTTTCTGTGGTTTATTTATCTTTTAACATAAAGGCAACTGCTCTTTCACACGAACACATTTTCAAACCTTAGATTAGAAACCCGACTGATCTGATCCGCTGTGCTAACTGATGGTATTTATAGTGTTTGACACACCTCTAAAGCAAGAGCCAACTAAGCAGACGAATGGTCTCACCTCAGATGAGCTCCGAGGTGTTGTTAAGCATGTGCCCACTTTGACACACAGTCGTGGTAAGATTCGTTGATGTCTTTGTCCTGTAAGCGCATTTTTATCATTTTTAAAAACAGTAATATTTATTTATCTCTCTTCTTCCGCTTGGTCCGCTTGGTCGTCTTCCTCTTCGATCGCAGATACGTCCACTTCGTCGTGATGTGCGCCACTCACTGGTTACAAACTCCACTGTTGTGATGCCATTCCTGTGCTTTTCATGAAGCACAGTCTCTATGGTAGGAGCCTATTCGGCAGTTTATTTAAGCAGTTTACCAGTAGAATAATATTTCATTGTAAACTCAATCTGAATGTAGGCACTGATAACCTGCTGGCTCATACAAACGTGTTCAAATTATGCTCAATCTGCCTTTTTCCCCAAAACCACAAGAGGGCTGTCTTGCAATATGACCATATACCTCAGAGTAAAAGAAGAAAACATGATGGAGAAACATGACAACATGCCGTTAGCTCTTCACGATAAATAAGCTTATACCGGCGTGTACACACTTATTTTAGAGGCGAAATGCCTCGTTACGCACAACTAGTGATAGGACCTGCGGGAAGCGGCAAGGTAAGGAGACATTTCACACAGTAAGAAAGAAATTACTTCCCACTAAGATGTGCAATGGCAAATTAGTCCATGCTATTAAACTTATTTGTTTCAGAGCACGTACTGTTCCACTTTAGTACAACATGCCGAGGCTATAAACCGCTCCGTGCAGGTGGTCAACCTGGATCCAGCTGCGGAGCACTTTGACTATCCAGTGATGGCAGGTAACTACTTGATTATTACTTATTCATTACATTTCATGCTAGACCATACATTCATACCATACTCCACACAGATGTACAACAACTCACCTTTATGTAACAGATAATACTCCCTACAACTGTACAACAACTCACCATTATCTAATAGATAACTATATGTCCGGTCAATCATCATATCACTGTTGCTCTGTCTTTCTATGACCTCTTGTATATAGCTGAGATTTTAAATTTTTTATTACTTATTTTTCTATTTTATTTTGACTTGTACATATACATTTATATAATTATGCCTTAGTTGACACCTGTCTCTTGCTATCTTTTTTGCTACTTATTTAGAATTTATTTTTACCATTTATATTTTTTACTCTTTGTTTTTGTATTATATTGTGATGAGGGATCTACTATGTCCATATAATTTCCCTTGTGGATCAATAAAGTTTATCTAAGTCCAAGGAGTGGAAAGTAACAAACTACAAATATGCCACTCAAGTTACTATAATTTTGTAGAATTTTGGGCAGTTGTACTTTCTTGAGGGGATTTGAAACATGTACTTGTAATTGAGTATATGTTTGGCATTCAACCAGACTTCTGACTGATCAGGGAACATCACTGGACTGCATCACCTGCCCTGAGAATATGGAAATACATTCAGTAGTCTATAGCACATTTTAATTGATCAAGTTTTATATTAAAGCTTGATTTATGATGCAATATTTTTAAAACTGCATTAAAAGTACCAGTGACTTGTATTTTTTCTTCTTTAAACTACATTTTACTTACTTACATTTTACTTACTGCAAATTTGTCAGTTCTTGTAATTGAATATATTATTAGCCACAAATGCTCTTTTACTTGAGTACAGATTGCCAGTGTTTTTTTGTTTTTTTTCTCACCACTTGTTATTATGCACCACCAGACATTCGTGAGTTGATTCAGGTGGACGATGTGATGGAAGATGATTCTCTCAGATTTGGTCCTAATGGAGGCTTGGTCTTCTGCATGGAGTATTTCGCTAACAACTTTGACTGGCTGGAGGAGACTCTGGGTCATGTGGAGGATGACTACATACTCTTTGACTGTCCAGGTAAGAGCCCAATGACCACAAAAGACTCATACAGGCCACACACCTTACCATCTAGTTTTCATATGACTAATGGCCTCTGTTTACTTACTTACCACCATTGTACAATATTGATAAAGTATCGATTTTGAAATAGTTGCTGACCCAATATCGCGACCAAACAAGACTACTTCCAACTGATACAAATTTTGGCCAACTAAGACTCCATCCACAGATTTAACTGACCAAACAACTAACATATAAACTGAAAATATTGTGTCAAAAAGTATAAATGGCTCAATATCACAGTGCTTAACAGCCATATAGCATATCATAATCTGGTGTTGCCCTAATGAGTAGCCTTCATCATGAACAAATTTCATTTTGCAGGTCAGATTGAACTTTATACACACCTCCCTGTAATGAAACAGCTAGTTGACCAGCTGCAGCAATGGGAATTCCGAGTATGTGGCGTCTTTCTGGTGGACTCTCAGTTCATGGTTGAGTCTTTCAAGGTAACCGCATCATTTCTATGTATCTATTCATATTGTTCTATCTTTACCTGATTTTTATTCTTATGGTCACAGTTTCTCTCTGGCGTCATGGCAGCTCTGAGTGCTATGGTTTCCCTTGAGATCCCTCAGGTAAACATCATGACCAAAATGGATCTACTCAGTCCAAAAGCAAAGAAAGAGATTGAAAAGTAAGTAAGTTTTACATCATTTGTCAAGTCACCAACATATTGAGACCTATCTTCTTTTTTTTTTTTTAAACACAAGCTTTTTGTTATTTTAAGGTATCTAGATCCAGACATGTATTCAATGATGGAAGACAATTCAGACTCGATCAGAAGTAAGAAGTTTAAGAAGCTTACGCAGGCCATCTGTGGGCTTGTAAGTTCATTTATTTAGTGTCATTTTGATATGGTATTACTTTACTTTTTGCTTTATATATTTTTAATTTGTGTATGTAACGAGTCAGCTACTGTCTCTGTGGGCAGATCGATGACTACAGCTTGGTAAGGTTCTTGCCCTTCGATAGAACAGATGAGGAGGGCATAAACATTGTGCTGCAACATATAGACTTTTCTATTCAGTATGGTGAAGACTTGGAGGTCAAAGAGCCTAAGGTAATTTAAAAATGAAATATATATTTGAACATTCAGTTGTATAATATTTTTCACAGTTTTGCATTTTTATTTTTTATAGGACTTGGATGAAGAAGAGTTGAATTATGATGAAATTTTTGAAGGCAAACTTGACAGCTGAGGAGACATGAAAGTGTACCGAGATTGCACACATATTTCACAGGACTGACAATACAAGAGCAGATTATTTCATGTACTGGACATTTTATATCATGAATTGCAATGATTGTCTTTTAAGTTACTTAGTACTTGGTTTACATTGTTTTATTTTAAATATAAAGGTATTTTTAAATAAAAGAAAGTAAGGCAAAACATGTTGACTGGCTGCACCATATATTGCAATGGAAATGCAAGTGCAGATTTTCTTATTTTATTCATTTATTTATTTATTTATTTTTAATTCTTGTGGTATCTGTAGTTTAGACTTATATAAACATGTTAGGAAATTCATGGAAAAAATAATAAGAAAAATTCATGGGACTTGCTCTTGGAGCTGTTTACAATGTGCACTATGAACAGAATCCAACTTTTTAAGCATGCGTTGCAAATCTAATCGCAGATATCGCGATTAGAGCTGTATTTTAATTGAGACTTGACGCTTGTGTTATTGCTCAACACGTTTGGTGTAACAGCGGCCCCTCGTGACATTCTCGCACACGTACACGTCCCCACTTCCTGTAAATCTGTTGGGTGGGACTAGCGGAAGCAGCGTTCAGATATTTTCCCTTCGCTGTGCAGTTTGGTTGATCTATATTATTCAACATGCCGGTGAGTAATTGATTAACGTATATATTTGCAGTCTATTTCATGGAGCATTATAAGATCACAATTCAGATGCAAATGTAATCACAGTGGCCTACCACTGGCGCTAGCATTGATGCTAGCACTATTGGCTAGCAGCTGGAAATGGCTCAAATCTGTCTATATGAGTCTCTCTTTCTTTTTAATCAGTTGAGGGTGACAGCTGAAAATACTTTATATGATACACTGTAATTTTGCCGTAAACACTTCACATTTCACTTTAATATTTGTGACATAAGCTTAGTGTCATTGATATCCATCAGTGGCTACATTTACCTGGTCAATAAAATGAGAGAACTGGGAATGTGATTATTACCATGTGTGTACATCCACATCACAAATGAAATGCCTATATATTGTGTTTATCAGAATGTTGCCAGTTTACATCATCAAATTTAGATTTGCCATGTTAGCAAGTCTTCACAACTCCAGAAATAAGCTCATCCTGATCAGATTATTGGTGTAAATGTAAATTTAGCCAGTGACATATGAAAGACATGTAATACAATATTCCATAATATTTTTCAGGCGTATCATTCCAACTTGATGGCATCCGACACCAGGATGGTGGGGAATATGGCTTTGCTACCACTCAAAACTCAGTTCAAGGGTCCTGCCAGAGGAGATGGTGAGGATCAATACAAATTATTGTTATGCCAAGGACATTTTCATTTTTCCTGTTATTGCAGTTATACTTGTAGATTTTGGTAGAAAAGTATTTTTACTTTTGACTTGTCTTACTTCCTGGTTTTGGTATTTCCATATATGGTACAACTGCTGCACTGCTATAACTTCTTCAAAAAGTACATTGCCATTTCAGTGTCCTTTGTCTTCACAATGTCAGATGTATAAAGTTTCTATTGTATTAGTTTTTCAAATTTTTTCAATTATTTGTAAATAACATTGCAAACTGTTTTTCAGGTATTGACTCTGACATAATCGATGAAGCTATTTATTACTTCAAGGCCAACGTTTTCTTTAAAAACTATGAAATTAAGGTAAGAATTATTTTACTAACACCACATCTTTGCTGCAGTCAGTACACGTTTTTGATTCTTTCTGTGCCTCAGCAGCTGTAGTCATTCTTTCACATGCTCTGGCTTGTTTTTGCCCACCCCTTAGTCGTAGTTTAGACATCCCTAGTTTGGATCTACACTA